TCATTGTGAGCTTGAGACCAGGCTGGGCTACAAAGTGAGTTCAAGGCCAGCCTGAACCGCACAGTGAGACCCTGTGTCAAAAAGACAAAATAAATAAATAAATAAATAAATAAATAGATTCAGTGTGTGACACAAAGGCACCAAACAGGATATTATGAGGAAAAGCATGTGAGAAGAGACTGAAAGTTAAAAATCAGGCTGCACTTACCTAATGCAGGACATCGGGTCACGTCAGTGTGCTGGAATTGGAAAGACACCTTTGAAAGTTTGTCTTTGATCATCTTGTCTCGTGCCAGTGAACAAGCGTGTGCTTGGGGGCAGCTTGAGATTTTCTCAAAGCCTGGGACAGGAATCCCGAGGTCAGAAGGACCAAGTCCTCCCCGTGGGCCCCCACAGTGTGCTGCCCATGCCATGTCAGACAGGTACCCACACATACACGCATGCAGCGCAGGTACACAGGAGCACACACACCTCAAAACCATTCCATGGCTTTCCGCTGTCCACACAGTAACTCCAAGCTCAACAGCCTCAGCAGCCACACTTGCCTTCCTCTGGTTCCCTGCTCCCTGGAGCGTCCTCTCACCTTCACATCCTGTTTGCTCCACCCTCACAGGGCTGGCTCTTCCTGGCTGTTTAGGTCTCACCATCTTCATCATCCGAATAGCTCCCACTCGCCCCGCCACCACTCCCAACAGTCAGTGTCAATGCACCCCACTAGCAGCCACTAATTGTTATTTGTCAGCATAAATTTATTGATTTGTTTATGTTTAAATTGTCCTTGACACCTACTAGGCATTCAGTAATTACTTGTTGATTGAATGCATGGATGGAATGTTCCGGATCCACTGCTTTGCTGCACACCGTTGTGAGTCCCAGCAGCAGGCCCTGGTGACCCATCTGTGCTTATCCGGCTCTTCTTTTCCTTCCCGGCTGTTCCAAGCTTAGTCTCCACCTGTACCTTGAGGATGACCCTTCCTGCCCCTGAACACCTAAGTCTAGGTGAAGGGGAGGTAAGCAGCCATCTTCGGGTGGGGTAGAGGCAATAAGAAACCACAGAGATAAAGAATCAGTCTGCAACTAATCTCATGTTCTTCTGTGTCATTAGAAAAAAAAAAAATTCAAAAGAGAACTACAAAAGAAAGAGCTCTGAAGAGAAAAGAAGACAGACACTGACATGCTCTGTCTGGAGTGAAAGCTCACCTGCGTAGTATGGTGACCGGAGGGGTCCCCTCTTCCTCCCCAAGCACGCAGAGGGCGCTCTACAGAGCAAAACCTCCAGTGATGGCAACTACCCGAAGACATTGATCAGAGAGGAGGCTTCCGCCCCAGCTCCTCTACCATGCTGCCTTCTGCTCGTAGCTCTACTCTCTCCCTCATCTGGTCTGCACTTGTGTCCAACACAGCGTCCCCTGGTACAATTCACCAAGGTGCAATTCACCGAGATACAATTCACCAAGGTGCAATTCACCAAGATACAATTCACCAAGGTGCAATTCACCAACGTGCAGTTCACCAATGCCCAAGAGTTGCTCAGTGCTGTGTTCTCTGCTTTTCTTTCTTTCTTTCTTTCTTTTGGAGGGGGAGTGGGTTTTGCCTCAATATTTCTTTGTCCAGAAACATGCTTAATGCCCCCGTGGAATTCTTGAAGCCGTCGTAGCTACTGAAGACTGTCTGCTTGGGAATCAAGGATCAGTTCACAGACTCAACCCGTGGCCAAACATGTATGGCTTGAGTTTATCCAGAGTCCAAGCAAATCAGATACTCCTTCTGGACATAAGTCAAATTCTTTCCTTTGGTAATACTTTTTCAGAAACTTAAAAAGCAATATGTTTCCTGTTCTCCAAGTTCTTGTAATCATATCCAATTTTGTATCAGATGCATCAATTGCCATAAGGAAAGGTTTTGAAAAGTCTAAAACTTCTAAAATGGATAAAGAAATCAAAGCTCATTTTAGCGTTTCAGAAATGTTTCAGCACTGTAGGATCCAAAAACTTTAATGAGTTTGCCTCCTTTTTATAAAACAGCACAATGGACGAGCTACAATTCCAAAAAAGGAAAACTTCAGGGATCTCCCAAAGGACACGCTTTTAAAAAAAAAAATTTAATTTAGAGAGTTTGCTGATTTCTAACAAACTACTTTATTCCACAAAAGAATTGGATCTCAAATATCTCATCTTTGAAAGCCCAACAGACATTACTAAATTTCATGCTGTCCGTGGATGGCTGCAAGCCCTAAACTGAATACACCCTCACAGTTAGACATGAGGTTTAAAAAAAAAAAGTCCCTCCCTGAAATTCAGGATGAAAAATAATAGAAAATTGCTGGGACTAATGGTGGATTCCTGTAATCCCAGTTACTTGGGAAGCTGAGGATTGCAAGTTTGAGCCCAGCCTGGGTAACTTGATGAAATCTTGTCTCAAATAAATAAATAAATAAATAGGACTGTGAATGTACAAATGCAAAGAGCCTGAGTTCAAGCTCCAGTACTATAGTAATAGTAATAATAATAATTATTATTATATGTTATTATAATAAATCAACCACAATGATATTACTAACATAAGGCTAACACTTAGGGGTGCAATAAACCTGCAGACATGTTTAATGCACTTGTAGATGGTGTATCTTGAGGTGGCCTCAGATCTCAGCAAGGAGAATTAAATCTACACATGTAATATAAATAACAGTGACAGCTACCATTTGTTGACTAGCTACTGTGCATGAGACACAATGCCCCTAACTTTAAGTTCATGGTTTTGTTACTCCTCACAGCAACCTGTGGAGGAGGTTCTGATTATGCTGATTTTAACTATGGAAAGTTCAAAGAGTGGTGAAAGTTATTCATTGTCGCACAGCAAGTATCATTGCTGGGATTTTAACCCAGGGCTTCTCAGTTCCCAAAGATGCCGGCAATGGGATGAACAGAAGAAAATGGCCCCATAATGTTGAGCAAGAAGGCGCCTAACTGAGACACAGACATGGTAAATCTCCACAAGCACTGAGGTGAACGATCAACATACATTATCCAGACCGAAATGTACCTGAAGGGAGGAAGGTGTTTCTTCACATCTCCACAACCTGCTCGGCAAATCCCTTAAGACTATGCAATACCCTTTGATCTAATTCAATATTCACCAAACAAACCTTCTGATCTGATATCAGTCTCCTGGGAATGCTTTTCCACTGGCAGGGAGTATCTTATTTACATAATGACCAGGACTAGCCTGCTGGTTTTATTCTCTGGGACTAATAAGAAGTAATAATAAAATTAGAAATATAGAGAAAATAAATTGGCCAGATAGAAGATTAATTAAAGTCCTCAATGAGTGGGACATTGGGAATCAGTTCCTAAAATGATCAGTTCTGAATGAACAAAAATGGATTCTCTGATTCTACAAAATCGAGAACCAGGTGCTGGGTCTGCAGCGACTTCCATTAAAATGCAGTCAGTCAAGGGGCTCGCCTCTGACGCAGCCTCCCAAGGTCTCTAGCCATGTTAATGACCTCAGTATAGGACCACTTCTACTAGGTGAGATTAAAAGATTGTCACATTGTGTGCCCCTCATCTATGTCATAGCTATGGGGTGTATGCAGAATGTCACAGCGGCCCACCGGGTACTGCATATATCATTAGCCAGCTTTTAAAACAAACCCGGCAAGTCCCCGCACAAAACTGCCCTGGAGAAAAACCCAGGAAACTCTAAGGGACTGACAAACCCACAGCCCCCTGCTCACGAAAGCTACCCCTAGGAATTCTTTTTGCAAACAAAATCCCAAGCTCATGCTGAGTGTGTTGAGTGAAGGTGACACCCGCGCATTGATTTCACCTAATGAGAATCCATTAGTCATGTGAATTCAAGGCAAAATGTCGCTGTTTAAGTTACATGTGAGTGAGGCCATCTACTTGGCATGAACTTCTGTGTCCTGTAGGAAAACTTCTGATTAGATAGTAACAAAGAGCAGATAGGGATAAAGAGGCCTACTTAGTCTCTCTGTCTCTCTGTCTCTCTGTCTCTCTGTCTCTGTTTCCGTCTCGGTCTCTGTCTACCTCCCTCCTTCCCTCTTTCTCTCCCTCCCTCCCTCCTGGGTAAAAAGACAGTGGGTTGTTTGTGGCAGTGCAACTGGGCAGCTGAACCAGGTCTCCGGGCCACTACCGGACAGCCTGCTTTTAGAAGCCTTGAGAAGCTTAGAAAGTCTGACTATCCCTCCAGAAAGTGTCTCAGTTTGCACTGAGATAAATATTTTCCTCCAACATGTTATTTTTGAAGCTTAAAACACAGTCTACTTCTGAAATTTTATATTTGAATTTGTCCTTTGTCCAACTCAGATTCAACTAAATAACTCCTTAGTGCTTATTTGCAAACACAAACTAGCTCAGTCGCTAGAACCCACGTTCTGCTGAGGTGATTTCTCCTCACTTATCATCCACCGGAAACACTGCAAAAAGTATCGAAGACTAGGGTCCTTTCTTCACCCTGGAAGTGGATTATTCACCCTTCACCCTGGATGATATTTTTTTTCTCTTCAATTCGATGTCTCTCTGCTTTAGTAATTCACTTTTTAATGCTAGAATTAATCGTATTTGTAATTTTCGCGCCAAAGTTAAGTTTACTCACGAAGCATTAAAGTTCGAATTCCTCCCTAGCTTTTTGGGGTGTGACCTCCAAGGCTATCATTCTCTTTCCAGGGCACCATGAGTCTTCACAGAACTTAATTTCCTAAAACACTTGAACTGTAGAAGAGTTTAAAACTGAGGTAGGAAATGACTTTTCCATACCTTCTGATTTAAAAATCCTAACGTATTTGTGATTTATACTCTAGTGCATTAAGTAAAATCTTACAATACGCCTTAGAAACCAAAATTACCAATTATTGAGTGCTTACTTTGTGCAGGTTTGACGTTAAGTATTTTGTTTGATCTCTCTCATTTGACCCTTACAGCAGTTTTTTGAGGTAGATAGTATTGTTGTGTATCGACCTCAAGATAGAAGAAGAAAAATCTGGGTCTAAGGTGCTTTATTTTACTAGTGGGCCACATCTAGGTGTTGGATATAAGGAGCCTTGCCTTTGAGCACGGATTCTAGTTCTTCTTCTGTGTCCTTGGTCCTGTTATTTCTCTTCAACCGCGTTCCCAGGGTTTCAACTTTCCTCCACTGTTAAATCATTAATCATTATTAATGATTATCATTCATCATTATAATTATCGTTATTTGAGATGGATCCCAGCTCCATGGGACATGGAGAACATGTTTCCTACTTAGCATGTCACTGTTAGTTTCAATCCAGTGTTCCTAAAACTTAGAATCTTTTCAGAGACAAAGATCCTCGAGAGAGATTGTAGGTTAAATCCTTACAGTTAGTGCTTTCATAAGCAAACTTGATAGCCAAGTGAGAATAAGAACAGAATGTGGGTTGGAAACATCCTAGGTATTTCTGGGAGATTCTCGAGGGTCAGATGTAAAAATGCTCAAACCCGGCTTCACCTAAGTACATTTGGTCTAGCTTGCAGTAGGCCCATGTTGTAAAAGGCAAAGAATAAGGTGCAGCGTGTGTAATACGGAGGCCTGTCTGGTCGCAGTGGGAGTGACGAAACCAAAAATGCTTGCCTGGGGAAAGAACAGAGAAAAGCCACAGTCAGGAGTTTGGAATTATTCCAGAGGCAGTGAGGCGGAAGACAATTGACTTGTGCTCCCTATAGGACAGGGGAGCTGGTGGGGATAAGGTGTGGAGGGCGGGGGCCAAAGTGTGGTTAGGAGGCCCGATTAACAGCAGTGCAATTAAAGAGGTCGTGGAACTCCAAATGGAGGTGGGGTAGTATTCAGAACGCGCCATACTTCACAGGACAGGACCCCCACCAAAAGTGGGGCCTGCTTCCACACCACTGGGAGACACAGGGAGATTCCGAGCACCGGTGCACGTCCAAGAATTTCTATTCTTTTTCCCTACTCTCCTCTTAATCTAAAATGCCCTAAATTGACATCGGCTGTGAAATTACTGCGCGCCTAAAAATACAAAATAAATGGGAAAGCCATCTTTGCCTATGAGAACCACAGACAAAAACAAGCCTGGCGGAGAGGCAGGCGAGCAGGGCTTCTGGTGGGCACTGGTCTCCTTGGGAAGTCAGTGAAGGTCACTGGTAACCAAGGGCCTGCGCTCTGCGCCCCATTCTGCAGATCGCGTGCCTCCCTCAGTAATTTATTTTTCCCTTTTCATGTCGGACTAGAGCATTTCAGCTGGCAGTGCCACGCAGAGCTCAATCTCCAGGGCTACAGAATCTTTCCACACATCACATTTCATAGTTTTTTATTCGATCAAAAATTTTCCTCCCTTATTTGCGAATCCCGTTCTTTACACTGCAGGGCGGCAGTCAGGGGAGGAGAGAAGGCCTCCGTATCTGGATCCGGGCTTGGACAAGACAAAGCCAGTGCGCCTCCTCCTCGAGCATCTCTTCCCCGCCTGCAGCCGTCATCGCGCTGCATCCGGCCCCGTTCCCACGGCAACCGGCGCGGCGCCCACGTGTAAGCTCTGGACCGCCGGGGCCGCACCCCGCCCCGCCCGCACGCCCCGCGCCCCGAGCTCCGCGAGAGGAGGGAGGAGGCCCGGTTGCCAAGGAAACGAGAGGACGCCAGGCAGCCGCCCCCACCGCCTCTGCCTCCAGAAAGGCCAGCACCCGCCGCGGAAAGCGCCTCCGCGGAGGAGGAGGAAGAGGGGCTGCTAGGAGCGAAGACGTGAGTGGTGGAGGAGGAAGAGCAGCTCGGGGTCGGCCCCTCTCCGCCCTGAACGGCCCGCCAGCCCTGGTCCTCGGCCTCGTTAGCCCCTGGCCGGGGAGAGAGTGCGGGCCCTCAGGGTGAAGGCTGGCAGCCGCCTCATCCCTATATGTACAGTAGGTTCCCGGCAGACCCGCTCGGTCTGCAGCTCCAGGAAAAGTAGACTGGTGGCATTGTTAGTGACAGTGAGAGCGTCAGGTTGCTTGTCAAACCTGTGGCGTGTCCTCCCAAAGGTTTCCGGCTGTACACTGAGCCAGTGTTCTCTCTCCCTGGGCTCGGTAGTCAGTGTGATCACCCATCTCTGTTATTTTCACAACATAATTAAGAGTCGCCGGAATAAACAAGCCATTGCCTCTCCCAATGTTCTCCTGGCACCTGCCACCTTGATTGTCTAAATGGAATTGGCTGGCAGGGGCGGAAGATCTCCGGCCTCCTATAACAATTTCCCCTCTTCCTCCTCAGTCACACTCTTCAGGGAGTGTTAGGAAATTGGGCCCAAATCAAGACATTTTTCTAAGCTAAGGTTCAAAAATTCTAAGATTATATTTTAAAGTTAAGACTGAAACAAATCCTGTAATCCTTGTCATTACAAATTAACTGTGGACCAGGTTAAAATCCTTTTTCCAGGCACCCAGTTATGTAAAGGAGGCGGGTTATAAATCTGATTGTCCGGTGTTAACACCGCCATTCAAACTTTGTCTCACAAGAAGTTTCCGCCATAAAAGGTTAAATTTACATTTTGCTTAATTGTCCAAACCCAAGAAAATATCACTACTGATACTTCTAATATCAGAATAGAATAAGAATGCAGAATAATGACTTATCTAAAACACATTTCAAGTTAGCTTTTTGACAAATCTGGCCGTAAAACAGGACAGTACACACACACACACACATACACACACACACACACTTTTTTTTTCAAGAGAAGTGAAAGTATTCTGCAATCAAATTCTTTCTCCTTAGTCAGGGAAACTTGGTTTGAATTCGTTGGAAATTTATACTAGAGAGGAATTCGTGTGTCACAAAGTTCTTAGAATACTCTTCATTGAAATTTCACAGATGTGTAGAATTCTGAGGCCAAAAAGAATCTTTTGCTGTTTGTTGCTTTCAGCAGTGCAGACTCCCTCCTCCCCCCTCCACACACTTAGTATGAGTTCTTACTCTGATTTCTAAAGCACAAATTTGGCATAGTTCATTATCGCCAGAGATTTCAGCAAGTGTGCATGACTATGAGTGGGTTTTAAAATGAGAAGCAGTTCAAAGGTAAGCGGTGGAAGACAGCACAGAATGCTATTTTAGACATAAGAGCCTTGCCCACATTTTATTATCATTCTGCCTCGCCCTCCCACTTCCGTATTTGCTGAGGAAAAACTCCTGGCTTCAAACGGCCATCTGGTTGAATAGGCCTGCAAAGATGAGCTCTGTACATTAAGCATTGTCTCACGTGGATTTATTTCCATAGTTATTTCTGCTTCTTGGTCAACCTGGTCAGTTTTTCAGACTTAGAGCACTGCCTGATGTGGAGAACATTTGCCTCGCCTGAGATAACCTACCATGTCCTTAGTCTGTCTCTAGCAGTCTGTTTCCTCTAGTCTTACAAAGTCTTGATATATTTAAATAGGAAATTACATGTGGTACTGTGATGCTTCAAACACTTATTTTATAGTAAAATGTAATATAATGGAGAGTTTATGAGGAGGGGGAGAGGTTTGTGTAGGCAATTTGAAGTCCTTTATTTGGTAGGTGATTGTGAAGTCAGAAGTAACCTAGCTAGTTATTCAAATAGTTATTTCCTAGCTCTTTGGGCAAAGTTATTTCATGCCTCCTGACTTAGAAGCCTTCTTAAAATAACGCTGAGCTAACACCATGATAGATTAACTGGTTTTGCTGTGTTAACTTTCTGTATCCAAAATGTATCCTCCAAGTAGGCTCTGGAATGTGCCCCTGTAGGGACCGTTAACACCGTCGCATTATAAATCCTCATGTTCTCTGCCTGATTAATATTCAGACAGCCTTCTCTTTCCAACAGTAGCAACAGGGATTCATCTCTCTGTTCTTTTGCTGAAAGGGTGGGACCGGAACCTCATCTTCTGCAGGCACAAATGCATTTGAACAACTAAAGATGATCTTTCAAAATATGTCCTGTAAATGTTCAAATGCTGAGAGACAGGATCTCAGGATTGGTCTATAGACTGTGCAACTGTGCATTGGGTTGTAGTTTCAGATTCTGTGTGGCAAAGACCATCTTTCTATACCAGAGAGAGACTAGCTCCCAAGGGACCAGCACAGGTCACCCCTATTGCTCAGGGGTAGATGATAAACCTTGCAAGACTTCCTAGCTACCAGACCAGACAGTCAGCATGAGTCAGGAACAACCTGACTTTGCCAATATCCACACATCTGAATAAACCGGAGGAAGGGAAGTCGCACGGTGCAATACACCTGAGGGTTATAACATCTGTCCTAGCCTGCTGTTTTCCCCAGAGCCTAAGGAAGCTTCTATCACACTGTAGTCATTCAGAAGTATGCAGAGAGTCCCTTTGCCCCTTGTGCTCTGGTTACTTTGCTGTCTCCCACCACCATGAACGGCTGCCCCTCTGCCACGTGCCACCCTGCCTCAGAGCCAGGAGGTTACCAACTGAAACCTCCACAAACTGTGAGCCAAATAAACCTTTCCTTCCTTAAAAAAATATGCATAGATATGTAGAAAGCTTCGCTGGGCAATAAGCAAGAATCGTGTGGGGGCTTTTATAGCCCCGTAGAGCCCTATAGAAAAGGTCTGGCCGTTATCTTAACAGTGCAGTTTTGTCACTTTTCGAGCTTTCATGTGATAGTCGTAAGTTTCGGTCACACCAACCGGAGGCAAACTTCTTGAAAGCATGTCTCTGCTTCTTTCCCTCCCAGGTACATACCCTGCTGCAATCTGTTTTCAGCTCCATCGCTACAGTAACTGCTCTCACCGGGGTTATTAATTACCTTCTCCTTGAAATTCTCTCTCTGCGCTCATAACACAGCACCCACCTGCTTCTCCTCCTGCCTCTGTGCAGGGCTTCTCTCTGGCTGCCTGTTCCTTAAATTTTAACGTTTGTCCCGGTTTTGTCCCGTGTAAAGCATTTTCTCTTTCCGTATCCATTCCACTTTAATCCCGTTGGTCACCAAAATGCAAAGCCCTACATCTGCCTGTTTGCTCAACCCGTGCATTTGCAGTATCCGGGGCACTTCAAATCCCACATTCTTTTCTCGTAAACCTGCTCCTTTTCTGTTTTCTGAAGGCACTGTTTGCATCAACGAGCCAGCTGCTCAAGTCAGTGACCGAGGCAGCTTCCTTGGTACTTCCCTCTCTACCCCATCCCTAGAATCTCAGAGACCTGGTGATGTTCTCTTTCGAGCATCCCTTGAATGCACTGTGGTTAGTGTGAGCACTGGAACCTCCCTGGGTTCAAATCCCAGTTCTTCCGCTTATTAGTGCTGTAGCCTCCTGCCAGTTATTTCATTCCTATGTGCCTCAGTTTCCCCACCCGCAAAATAGAGATGTAGTGTCGGCCTCAGAGCGTTGCTGTGATGGATGAATGAATGAATATGCGTAAATGCTTAGAAGAGTGCCTGGCCCTTCCAGAGGCTGGTAAATAGCAGCTGTGGTCCCCGTCCCTTCCGTTCCCTTTTTCTTTTCCTCCTCCTCCTCCTTCCTTCCGCCTTCGCCACCCAGTCTGGCCAACGTCTCATCCAGGTTATCACCACGTATTCCAGTGGCCTTCCCTTTTCCGTGTTTTACCCTGAACCTTCCTCCCACCACCCATCCTCTGTACTACAAATGGGAGGGTTTTTTAAAAACACAGTCCAATAACTTCTTTCCCAGATTGGAATTTTTCACGGCTTCATATGACTCCTCCAGGGATGACCTTCTAGGCTCCACACGAGCCGGCCCCTGCCAGTTCCTCGACCCACCTGATGCGCCTGCCCACACCCGGCTCTGCCCCCACTGCCCTGCCCCGCCCTGTTCCTCGTCTGTCCTTGCCCCTTCGTGCCTGGACCCTCTGTCCCTGCCCTGTGTTCTACTTCTCATCTCACTCACTCCTTATTAAACCCCTCCAGACGAGGATGCCCTTCTTTTCCAACACTCCTTCTAAGAACACCACACTTATGCTCCGTAGCAATTACTGGTGTTAGGGGTCACATGTCCGGTGTCAGGTTCCCACCCTAGACCGTAAGCAACACAGGGCGGAGAACATGTCTCGCTGGTTGCTGTAGCCCAGTGCCAAGCACCCTGCCTGGGTGGGAATAAGGGTTCAATCATTGTTCTGTAGGTGATTTTAAGCCACGCAGGGCATCTAACTTTGGTCCCTGCTAGTTTAGCGAGGCTCTCGGATTTGCTTTTTTGTCATGTTGTAGAACTGCTTCTGAATCAGGTGTCTGTCCACCTAACTTTCCGTGAATAACCAGGGCGAGACCACTGAAGCCAGCTGATGACTGTGATTGCGTTCTTTAGGCCTGGAACAGGAGGGCTTGCAGGACTTCAACAGCAGCACAAGAAGCCCTTCAGTCTGAAAGGAGCGTCTGTGCCTTTCAAACATTAGGTTAATAAGAGAATCAAAGCAAGTATACTAAAATAAATCCAGATATGACAAAGCCACAAAAGAGTGTCACAGCACATTTATTTCTCTTTCATACGCAGGTCAGGGATTAAGAATCATGCTGCATGAAGCAAGGGACAGGCAGAAGTACTTCAATGATGTCCAGTATCTACGGGACATGCAGCATAAGGAGGACTTCGAGTATCAGGTGACTGCAGGAGGCAGGGATCACCTTCCACCTCCTCTGCAAGTGTGAGAGATAATTCAGAACACAGTATGAGTATGTGCTAAACAGTAGTCCTTTCCTAAAACCCCTTACTCACCCCTTACTAACTGGGTGGTCTTGAAAAGCTACTTCATCTTTCTGAATCTCAGTTTCCTCATCTGCAAGTTGGGGATAATAAGAGCACCCATGTCATGATTCTGTCAAAAAATGAAGTGAGGGGCCGGGGATATAGCTCAGTGGCACAAGCACCTGCCTGGCAAGTGCAAGATCCTGAGTTCGATTCCTGGTACCCCACCCCCCAAAATGAAGTGAGATAAACATTTTTCAAGTATTTCCCGAGTGTCTGGCACACAGCCGTTGGCAACAAATGATGCTGGGTTTCAAATCTGACAAACCAACTGAGACGAAAAAAGACTTTCTTTAGGTGGTTAAGTGAGCCACTCTGTCATTTATAAAATAACATACTCTTCTGTTGTCATGGGGGCCAGCAGGGAGGTGGTTAGCACATTCTACAGTAAGGTAACTATGGGTCTTTGTGGTTACGATGTTTACATGCAAAAACAACACAAAGGCAGACGGAGAGCCTGAGGGCCCGTGATGCAACTACCCGGGGCCGGCCTAGGACAAACTCGTCCAACTGGGTTGCAGGATTCTGGGAACAGTTAGAAGGTGTCGCTCCTCCCATCTTGCCAGAGGTCAGGCCTCACCAATCAGAGAGGCCTGGCTTCAGGCCTGGCAGAGGGCTGAAAAACACTCCTTCCCTAAGGAGAACACGGATCTGCCTTATCAGGTTTTTCTCCTCCTTAGCAATTTCAAATATAACTGAACCTCCTGGGTCACCAAGGAAACCAGACCTATCCCAGTAACCTGATTTCACCTGTGTAATACAGCTTCGCTTTGGGGATGGAAATGGAGTCAGCAGCTTCCTCCCACAACTTGTCAACCCGCGTATAAGAAGACTATAAAATCTGGGGAGTTTCTGGAAAACAAATAAGAATGTAAACACCTGAACGGGTCACCCTGGTATTCATCTCCTTTTCATAAAGATGTCCCTGCTGCCCACCTTGTGTCTGGGAGTAATTGTTTGAAGTGATCTGTAGAACAGGCACATAAGAAAATCAGTCTCATTGTTTTATGGGCCCTGCCGAAGAAAATCACACAATTGTGTTGTTTGGAGCTGTTGGAAATGAGCCCCCAGACCCAGTTTGTCAGTGCAGATAGGAAAGCACTCGGACATCAAGAAACCTTGACAAGGCTTTTGCTTGTACTTTCCAAAAAAGGTGCAAGCCCATCCCAGCAACAAGGTAGCAAGGTAGCGGGCTTGCAGCACAAAGGAGGGCTGCCCCTTTTATCGCTAATGCAGGAGGAGCAGCTGACCTCTTTCCTATTGGCTGGTTCGGATGTTCACAATCTCTCCTGATTGGCTAACTCAGACAGCGCCCGGGGAATCTGAGGGGTTGCTGAGGCAAAGGGAGCGGAGTGGTGGGGGAAGTGGAGAACAAAATCCTTGAACTCTGATAAGCTATCTTTCGTTTGTAGCTGTGTTCCCGGGACGGGAACTGAGCAGGCATTTTCTGTCACTTCGTGTGTTCAGGAAGAGCTATCTAGAATGGGCTACAGTCCAAGATGGAGTCACTCCTGTTTGATAGAAAAGACAGAACTCGCTTTTTCCCACAGGGCCCCGGCAGTTATTTTCTAATCGAAGTTGAACTTTGAGTCTACCTTTCCATTCGTTCCACCAGTATTTATTAATAACCTGCCATTTGCCAAATAAGGCCCCTGCGCTTGCAGAGTTCTTACTCTAGTCTTGAGAAGAAAACAATGTACACGAGTAAATAAATGTATAAGATAGTTTTAGTTACTGCAAGAGTTTGGGTCAAAGGTGTTTCCCAAAGGCTCGTGTGTAAAAGACTTGGTCCCCAGCTTGGCCCTAGTGGTGGAACCTCTAAGAGGTAGGGCCTAGTGGGAAGTCTTGTGTCACTGGGGGAACATCAGACCTCCCTTTAACGGGAACAGTGGCAGTCCCACCCGTTCTCTGTCCTTCACTTCCCTGCTGCCATGAGGTGAGCAGGCTTCCTCTGCCATGCGCTCCACCACGCTGTACTGTGTCTTCCCAGGCTCAAAGCAAGGGAGCGCGTCAGTCGTAGACTGAAGCTCTCAAACGCTTGAGCCTTTCTCTCTTTAAGGAGATTTATCTCGGGTTTTCGATACCGTGACAAAAAACTGACATAGATACTGATAAATACATGAGAAAAATAAAGCAGGTACTGAGGGTGGTGCTGATGCTCCTTTAGATGGGCGGGGAAGGCCTCTCTGAGGAAGGAGGATTTGTCTGTGGAAGTGAACGGGAAAGACCCCACCAGAGCATCCAAGCAGAAGGAAGGCAAGTGCCTGCAAGAGGAGTGCGCCTGGAACACTGGAGGGAACAGAAGAAGCCCGCAGTGACTGAAAGACATTCGTCAAGGAAAGTGCAGAGCATGAGGAGGTGGAAAAAGTCCACAGAGCCAGGTTATGCTGGGCCTCCTAGGACAAACTTTGGCAATTTTTTTTTTTTTTTTTTTTTGGTACCAGTGATTGAACTTACAACCTTGTGCTTGCCAAGCAAGCCCTTATGCCACTGAGCTATATCCCCAGCCCCAAAATATCTCTATTTTTTTTTTTTTCCTGTATCAGGAATTGAACTCATGACCTTGCACTTGCCAGGCAGGCGCTGTGCCGCTGAGCTAAATCCCCAGCCCCCAACTTTAGCATTCTTATCACACAATTATTGGATGGTTTTAAGCAGGGGAAGCAGAATGACACTACTTGTTTTTTTACCCCCCAGTACTGGGGATTGAACCTAGGGTCTCACATATGCTATGTTATGCAAGCATTTTATTACTGAGTTACACTTGCAGTGAGTACACGCGCACGCACGCACACACACACACACACACACACACACACCCCTTTTTTAATTCCGAGACAGAATCTCACTAAGTTGCTCAGCCTAGGCTCAAACTTTTGACCCTCCTGCCTCAGCCTCCCAAGAAGATGGGATTATTGGCATGTGCCATCGTACCCAGCTTGAGTTACATTTTTAAAAGATCGCCTTGGCTTCTGTTGGGGAAAGAACTATAAAGGATAAGAGAAAAAGCAGAGAAAATAGGAGGCTGACGGAAACTTAGGAGAGATACTTTTGGTGACTTGGGCCAGGTTTTAGTCAGGGAGGTGGCACAAAGTGGCCTGACCCAGCAAATAGAAGCAGAACAGCCATCTTGCCGAGAGATGGAGGAGGGGGGAGGGGAAGAACAGAATGAGGGATGCTCACTTCAACACAGCTCTTCATCAGCTCTTTCTGTTATTATCCAATTTTAATCCTCCTCACTCCTCAAGCACCCAGCCCCCATATTTGCAACAATCTCCCCCCTTGTTTCACACACGCATTAAACAAAACAAAAGCCCAAAGCCAAGAGGTGTGAACCCACTCAACTTCCTTCCCTTCCAGCCCAGGATCTACACCCTTCCGGCGCTCTGGTTGGAGAGGATGGAGTGACCCCCCTCCTGCCAGGCGCCAGTCCCTCTGCTCTCCAGCCTCTCCCACCCCTGGGCCTCTTGTCTGTGTCTTTGGCCTTCTCTTCTTACCGGTTCAACCTACAGACTCGCTTTAGTCTCCCACCAAACGAATCAAAGAACAAAGCCTTCCGTGGCCTGTGTGCCGCTGCCTAGCAGCAACCCTGCCTCCTTCCTGTTTCATCCCCAAAGAGTCAGCTTCATTTTTAGCTCCACTCTTGCCCTCTCATTTATTCCCTAACCACTGCGAAGGTCAGTAGCCAAATTCAGTGGACACTTTTCCAGTCTTTGTTTCCTGAAGCTCTGTCTACATTTGATGCTGTTTCTCATCCGCTTGAAATGCTCCTCCTCTGGCTTTTTGACATCACGCCTTCCTGACTTTGCTCCTGTTCTCTTCATTTTTCTGCATGTTCTTTTCCACGTTGTCTTCTCCCTACTCTCAAATGCTGATTCTCTCAGGCTTCCCTTCTCACCCTAGTTCTCTTCTAAAACTTCACACGGTCCCTGTGACTCATTTTGTCTGCCCTCCTGGTGATTTGTAACTGGGAGTCTCCCCAGAATGTCAGAATAACATGCACACCTGCTTGTTGGATATTTTTTCTGTCTAGATGTTACAGAGACATCTCAAACCCCACATGGTCTCAGCTGTACATTCCATGTCCTCCTCCTGCTACTCCTTCTGTGACCTAAGCCATCCCTCACCTCTGCTGCTCCCCTCTCGCCCGCATCCCATGAGTGACCAAGTCTTGCCAAGTTCATCTAAAATCTCATAAAATTGTACTTTCATTTTTTCTGATTGCCATTGGTATAATTAATGATTTTTAGTAAGTTTACCAAGTGTTCAGCCATGACAGTCACCAAGCTTTGGAATATTTCCACTACTCCAGTGCATAGCTTATGAGATTGTATTGAAATTGTCTTTTTGAGTGACTTCCTCTCCAACTGAACAAGGGCTGCCTCAGTCTCCCTCTCGATGCTGAACAAAACGCCATGTCATTCATGAAAGCCGGTGTTACCCAACTTGATCGCCACCTGGGTTTATCAGACTTAGATCCAGCTGGCTTGTCACTGCTCCTAAGAGTCAAACCCACCCTTGTTGAGCATTCTTAAAACCCCTTATCAAAGGGTCTGCAAAAAATAAATAGGTTTGTCTTTAAGATGCTCTGAGTACTTTTGAAGTAGGTATATAGAGACCCACAGTAACTACTTCAGAGGGAACAGCAATGATTTTTTTAGTTATATTATTAAATCTATCCCGTGCCTTGTTCCAGAAAGAATTTAAAACAGTGATTTAAGAATCAATTGCATAAAAAAAGAATCAATTGCATGACTTCAGTGACCCTTCATTAACTTGGTCCACATATGGCTGATGAATGTTTAGATAATTTACTAAGGTAGATTTTATGTTGGCTAGATGTTGCTATCCTGGG